TATTTATGGATCTGTTGTAATTTCGTTTTGGAAGCGTTCAACTAAACCCTTGGGTTTGTTTCTTATCCAACCAAGTGGATTTTTATTAATTATTGTCTCTGTTAATGATTTTCCTTCGTGTAAGAAATTTGCAAAATCTGCGACAACAGGGTCTGCTCCTACGCTACTCATTCCAATAACTTTACCATCTTTAATGTAATATGCAAAAAATTCCAATTTTTCTAAAGAACCATAAATCTTTATTTTGTCTGGCTTTCCATACCCTGCAAGTATAACACTTGTAGTACAAGTTCCCACGATTATTTAGCGTTTCGACATCGAATTCATTAATTTCTGTTTATCGAAAGAATAACGAACGTACATACCTGCATACCGATAACTTTTGCCAAATAAAGTTGTCCAGAAGAACGGAATCGTATTTAATGGTACATTTTTATCACATATATTTAATGCTGCTATTTTCCCATGGTAATGTGCTAAGGGGTAGTGACCCACTGCGGCCGAAATGGCATCAGAACCAAACAATGGTGCGTACGCGATGTCACCGCCCGCGTATATATTTTCCACGTTTGTTCTTAAATGCTACAAATAAATAGAGTACATTGATTATTCGACAATTACCATCCTGAGAATTAACACTTTTCTGTGAATATGCTGCACCTTATCGACCATTATGCTACCGTCTTCTAACATTCGGATGGAAGAATCTTTTATCCAATCGGTATAAAACGTACACCCAATTCCGATAATAACTATATCAGCTGGAAGTACTGTACCATCGGTAAGCAGAACTGAACCTACATCATTTTTCTCATCCGCTTTTGCAATGAACTGTGTAATATTATTCCCAAACAGAAACTTAATACCTTCAACGGAATGATCGATTGTTCTCAATTTAATTTAGTACAGTGTTTCTTATATAAATAGAAAAGGCAGAAAAGAGTACCTTTTTCTTCGAATTCTTCTTTAACCCTGTTACCAATCGTTGTACCAAAAACTGCTTGTAGAGGGGCTGCGCCTCTTCCTATTATAGTCACTGACGCGGATTTACCCACGCAATAAGCAGCTGCTTCCATGCCAATAAATCCTAATCCAAGTATTACAACGTGTTTTTTCACCGACAGTTGCGATTGTATGGCACCGGAATCGGTATAATCTCGTAACGCATAAATATTGGATAAATTAACACCGGGTATATCAGGTATCCTGGGTTTGCTTCCAGTGCAAATAAATAAGTAATTATATGCGAGTTTTTCATTGTTACTTAAGTGGACTATATTTTCGCTCGTGTTCAAACCTGCAACAAGTAATAATTTATAAATGAATCGAATCGAACGACTTCTTACGGGGTTGTTACCTGTAGCTTCTATGCCCAGTTTAATCTCAATATTATGGTTCTTGTAAAACGATTGTGGCCTTAAAGCTGCTTGTTCAACGTCGAAATCCAAAACTTTGGATACCTTCACTCTGTCGTATGGAACTACATTCTCTTTACAGACCATGATTATATTTCCTGTAAAGTCCTCTTGTCGTAAAGATTCGGCACAAGTTGCACCAGCTGGTCCTCCTCCAACAATTACAACGGTAGTTTGATTATTCTTGTCTTGTGTGCACATTTTCTTTACACGTCTATTTAGACCTAGCTCTTTACGGTCAGCTTTGACGCGTACGAGTCCACTGTCGTCCACGTTCACCTGTTTCATCGAATGAAGTGCATTGTAATGACACGCTTACAATAGCATTATCTATAAAGAATTATCGTTGTATAAGAATTATTAGAATACTTTGTAACATGGCAAAGAATCTAGGCCTGGATAATCTTCTATATCCCCTGTTTTAATGTTGAAACATGCACCGTGCCATGGACACCTTACTCTTCCATCCCCTAATGCTCCCGTATGAAGGAGAGCTCCGTAGTGTGTACACTTTGTACCTATAGCATGCAACTCGCCCTTCTGTTTAATCAACAAGATTTTATCACCAGCATCTCCGAGAGGTAACAATTTCATTTCATTTTCCTTGATATCCGATTCCTTGCACACCACATCTTCGATGTAATCGTACTTTTCTGGTTTACCTACAATGAATATACATTGTTCTGATTATAGATTGACACGAATATACATGTTTAGTGATCGGTTACTAAATATGTGGAATATTAGTAGTTAGATAATGACTTTATTATATAGATATATCGGTAACGACATCGCGGGCATACGAACGAGGAGTCACAACTCACAACTACAACAACATTTTAAATTATTACACGACCATCTAATATCTTCTTTCGGTTTGTTACACTCACTGCAAATATAAGACTTTCTTTCGGATTTGAATTCTGACATTTTCGTTTGATGTATTTTCGAACGAAGGTGACAGATCGTACTGTACACTGATCGTGTCAAATGTTTCGCAGCATACGAGCACATATCGTTGCCTTGCGTTGAATCATTATACCATTAATCGTCTTGTTACTACAAGTTTCCATTTAATCGAAGTCGGCCAAGTTTTTTAGATCTAGCATTGAGTTTTCTTTAAGGAAAATCTACTGTTTTGGGAGGAACTGGTACACGGCATTGTAGGTAAGTTACACACGTAGAAACGTCATAGGCACACATGTACATGTACACGTATACAGAGAAACTATGCAAGTTAGAACGCAACCCATCTTTCCATACATGTATGGATGTTGGACATACTCTTACAACATTGTCGGTATTTTGCCAGTTGCTTAGTAAACAAGGATAAAGATAAAAGTAATAAACAGGAAAGATTTCTATCGCGTCACGCTCTGAATCATCGGTTAGTAATGGGAAAATCAATCGGTCGAAATACTCGTAATATTTCGTAATAAAGATCGATGCAATTTTCTACTGTAATTACGTGTTTTCAAATTGTATGAAATTTCTTCAATATTATTTCCATATGATTCAATAAAAAAGCTTCTATAAACAGAAAAAGTTGTAATTGTGAAATTTTATAATAGAATCTAGCGCCACAATAGCCACGGTCTATAAACGCATTGCATTAGGTACATGCGTACTTATCGTTGATTTTATATTGATTCTATATATGTATTTCTATTAGTAAAAAGAAGAAATAATTTAAACCTGTTTTCGATGATTTTCTTGGTATGATCCTTGAACTCCCTGGAGCAAGTCCTTTACAATTATTAACACCCATTCTATTTCTATAGAAGTGACCACTGAAGAATAATATTTCCGAAATTATATCGAGTTATCTACAAATAGACTGGCTATCTTGATTTCTTTTAATCTACTAGTACTTCTATCAACCGCGTTAAAGTTCATTTGAACTATGACGATCGGCCTTGAGTTACTTATCCTAAAAGTCGATTAAATAAACTTTCACTTCATTCTAGAGTAACCGATTATTGTCTAGTAAATAGAAAACCTTTTAACATATCAATTATAATAATATAAAATACTCGAATAAACTATCTTTCATGATCAAAAAGATTAATTTCTGTGATAACTTTATTCGAAACAGATTCGCGTGTTATTAAATTAAATATAGACAAACAGTCGAAAATGAAATGTTTTTAATTAATTACAGAAAATATTGAAACAATTGAACAGAACTTTTCCGAGAAATTACGTATCGAATAACAGAAAAATTATTTATTTCTTTGAAACCAATGCCGTCTGCTTCTCCGATGGATTTGACACGCCTCTGACAGACCGCAACTTGTTGCAGAATGCGCGATTGCAATGAACACCGACTGTCAAGAGGTCGTGACAATCGAATTTTCCCTTCATAGGTAAAGAAATAATGCAATAATCGAGTGGAGCCACCTACAGAGGAAACACTCAATCTCCTACAGATTTAATACGCAGAATTGTTTCTTATCGATGGAGAAATTTCAAACTACGGTACATATTGGTACGTTGAAGGCACTTTCCAAGGGGATGGTAAATTATGATATAAATAAATGTAAATCATATTCCATGTTTTTGTTAACAATCATTTTTATTACCATGTATGTTAATTTCATAGATAATAATAAAAATAAGAAATATCATATATGAAACAGTAGAATCATTATCGCCATCCGTTATTCTCATTGATCATGCATTAAACCCATGAACATTAAAATATATTGGTACAACAGCACTATGTCCACGTAAATTTGAACTGTTGCAAATACAACTTCATCGGGATGTATCTCTATCCTTCGTCCACCCATAATTGTTTGCACATCAAAATACAGATACTAAAATGTATAAAGTAAAAAAATGTTATCTCTCACTGTTAGAGTAAAATATATATATAAGAAGTAAATATTTCTTTCATATTAACCATTGACAACATGATCATTCCTATAACAGAAATGATTACGTGTAATACTTTAATATATGTAAAAATTAGTATTATCATCATTACAGTAATGCCAAGTATAGAAGCCAATCCAGCAATCATCATGAGTCCTGTCCTCATAGTTAAATCAAACTGTAACATTGTTAGGTCGTATAAAATAATGTAGTTCTCTTTGATCCTTGTAATATTAAAAATACCTTCAAACATGTTGCTAAAAGACCAATTCCAAATGCCATCATTGATGTCATACCTAATGCCATCAAGACAATTTCAGTCTCGTATGAGACAGACGCAAATGCAGCTAAATATGAAAGGGCTATTGTCTGCAAATTATAACATTTAATGCTTCTTCCTCTCCTTCTTATATAATGATCGATTCAATCAATATCATTATTTATCTTACCAATTTGCATAACAGTATATAATTACAAGGCGTTGTGCGTCTAGCACGTACAGAGCAAGATACGGCGCAATAAGAAATAGTAAAGCATATACTGAAAGAAATAATAAATAATATAGTAATTGATTTGATTGATTGATTGAAAATTCGTTATAGTCGGAAACTAATTCACCTACAAGGCTATAATCCATAACCACCAATATAGTATCATGAACTTTTTTGCAGCATCGCTGAAACATGAGTAAAACAACTGTTAGATGGATTATTGAAAACAATGTTACTATAATGTTATTAATTTGTAATACTGACACAAAAAGAAAAATTGCTATAACGGACGTGGTGAATATCAACTGAAGCGTTAGTATTAGAAAGACTTTTCTAATGAAGCTTCTTCTCACTTCTTCCTGTTTAAAGTCTCCTACATAATTGGATGCATCTCCACCTGGTCCCATCGTTCCTCCTTGTTGTTGCTCACGCCATGCTCTATATAATTCTTGGTTTTCTCTTTCTCTTTGTGCTACCATTTCATCGGTGACAGTAACAGTATATGGTCCCTAATAGTAATAATAAAATTAATTAGCGTAATATGTACCAATTGCTCTGTGTTTTGTTACTCACTGTCTTAATTTTTTGTCCGCTGTACAAAGATGGTAATTGCGGTGGGCCTGATATAAGTTGCTGAACTGCTTGATTTCCTTGCATCGGATAACTGATAATACACACTATTAAATATTTGAGTCAACGTTATTGCACTGCGTTTGGAGTACCGAATAAACGTGTATATGAAATTTACTATGTTAATGAACATAAAATCGTAACATCGCTTCTTGCGTTGTAAATTTTCCTTCTATAAAAACTGAATATAGATATAAAATATGAGAACATTTATGAATGAACAAGTGAGTGCATTATAAAATCAAAACACAATCATTTGGAATACATCAAATACAATGTGATAATACAGAAATAATTTAATGACGAAGTAACGAAAGTCGAATATAAAACAAGTAATAGAAAGCAACAGGTATTTTAATCATCTTTGCATAGTACATTTCATTTATACAAATAATATATTATAATATAGTTACATCTTGTTTTAATAACAACGTATTTTTAATTTTATAAACCATGGAAAACATAATCGATCACGTTTGCATTTCAGAACAATTAATCGTACAGATTATTTCTATATATATATATATACATATACACTACTACACATATTTGTACGCAATACGTAATGTAGGAAATATGACTGATATAAATTACTGGTACGACTGATCGATACTGTATACCAAATAATAAGTAACAAATTCTATAAAATACTAGATAGTACTGTACAAGGAAGTACTTAAACTTATTATTCAATATCGAAGAAAAACTATCATGTAAGATGATGCACATTTTAATTAGAAATACTCTGTACGTATATGTGTAATGATAAAACACTTAAACAGGTACATACAAAAGTGTAATCGAACGTGGCATGTGCGTTTAAGTTTACATTCTTAAGTATGTACATATGTATGTATGTATGTGTATATGTATGCTGCATGTTTGTATACGAGTGTGTATATGTATGCATGTATGTATGTATGTATGTATAAATTATACATCATAAGAATTGTATGTACGCTTCTGTTGCGTGCTCGTAGTACATTCAGCAATAAAGAATACTGCAACAACGATTTCATGCTGTGTAAAACAAATAATATACAGGAATTTAAAACCAGCATATTATTTGATAAAAAAGGTAGTAATCGATAATACAAATATATAAATTTTCAATTAAAATCGTATTATAATAAGAATAATGCTACATACTGACTTTTCTGTAATTTCGGTTGACCCCAATTTAATATCAGTCTTGTAATCTGTATTTGTAGAAAAACCTTTTACGGTGTATAGAATTTATGCACTTTCGCTTGCAAAGCTTAATATAAGTTTATAATGCCAGGCACTATCAGTATAATTAATTGTATTTAAGTATTTAATTATGCGTTATATGTGTCATTTGCTTTTATCCTTTTCATTGCCAGTATTATAAACTGCATTGATTAATTTGCTCTTGTATCTTATTATATAAAAGCTGTGGAAGATACAAGAAACATGTTAAACACTTTTCCAAAGAATTATATACTTTTTCTTCTAATTTAATCCACAAACAGCGAATGCAACTATACGATTGTAATCGTACTTATTCAATTGTAGAATATATGTTATGTTGCGTACATGATATACAACTTTATGTAAACGTAAAAAATTCTGTCTAAAAGGTGACAGTGTAGGAGCATTCGAAGTCCGAGAGTTAATCATGTTTCGACCACTAACCTGTCTTGCAGTGTAATCTTGTATTAGAATTATTTTTGATTGATCTCCGCTGCCAAATATTTTCCCAAGCGCTTTTCTTTTGCTTCCATCCTTAACAGAAATTTGAATACCTCTATCAATTAAGTTTGGCAATTCACCAATTTCTTGCCACGTGTACGCCCAATGCACCTAGAAGATCGTTTTATATTTATATTCACGATTTCACTTATTTTATATTTCATTGAAAGTCTCATGAGAAATATACTAACCTTCCAGCCACCGAATAAATCACAATGTTCCAAGTATGCTATCCTTTTGTCGGTGAGTAATACGACATCTTTAGAAATATAAACGTGATAGAAATAGATATCAGTGGTCGCGTATTTTCCTTTTTCTAATTCCTACAGAAATAATTATATATGAGACTGAATCATTACACGATTATAAAAATTAAGCACATACAGTTAAAATCTTATGTCCTTCAGCTTCTTCTCTTATATATGGCCTAACCAAATTGTCTGGCTGAAAGAATCTAGGTGGCCTCGTCCTCTTCACTTCTTCATTTAATTCGGTTGCTCTAAAATATAATTACAGTTATAACCGCATAATTGATACGACAGATTATTTGATTATTTTCTATAATACCGTTTCACTGCTCCAAGCGATCCGCTAGCAAAGTCTATAACACCAGCAGTTGGTCTGGTGACAAGGCCAACAACACCTTTACCGAATCCTTTGAAGAAACCTTCTACCCCCTCTTCCTTAGCGCCTGATATAGGTTTCATGACGACCCCGGTTACACCATCAACCACCCCCTAGTTTGTTAATGTAGTTTTAATAATGAACTTCCTCATTCCGCATTTTCAAGAAATACCAAGTTAACTTCCATTCTTTGTTTTCACATACCATTACCAAACCTTTACCGCTTCGAGCAAGACCTTCTGGCAAATTAGAAGGCTGCTTGTTCAGCTGTTCCTGTCGTTTTCTTTGATAATCCTTGTCAAATGTAAGAGCAGCTAGACCTTTACCTAACGTACGTAAATAACATAGTTGCGCAATGAAGCTAGAATATAAGGTGTCGGCGGTATTTAGTAAGAAAGTTTAAATGTACCCATGGCGCCGGTGATTTTTGAAACAGCTCCGGCCATTCCACCAACAGTATGACCTAACATACTTCTGACACCAAGAAGTAGACCTTCCGCAAATTCTCCAGGACCTTGTATAGCGCCTTGGAAAGGTTCATAAAATAAGTCTTCGATACCTTTCACAGTACCAATCACAAGTCCGTATGGATTGCCAATCACATCAAGCCCCAAAACAAGAACGTACGCTTGTTTAATTGCTTGGCCTACATAATGCATCTGTGCCTCGGAAATAAGTTGTTTAGTGGTCATGAAAGTGTAATCCCTTTCAAAATATGCCAATCTATGAAAATGAAGAAAATCCAGTCAATAAAAACAGTTATCTATCGTATTTAACTATCGGAGATTAATTACTTGAAAACGATGTCATTGATATCGGTTAATGTGACACCAATCCCCTGTAGCAATACATTTAATACTTGAGGGACTGCAGACGGTCCACTACTGCTACCGGACATCGAGAAACTTATGTGTATCTAAAGAATGTATAAAAATTGCAGTTTAAAATCTTCGTTTAAGTAAAAGCTTCGCTAAAGTATCGGACGCAAACCTTCAACGGCGAGAAGTGAAGTAAATCGAAGAAATTTTTCTGTTCTGCTGTAGTGATTAGACTCACGTGATACATTAAGGGTTCGTCGACCAATTTCATGTCGATTTTAAATAATTTAACCTGAAACATGCCAATATAATACGTAAAGTAATTATACAATACGTCGGCCTAATTTGATATGGTATTATTTTAATTACAACCCACTTCTTCTACGTCGTTCGCTTCATTTGCCTCGAGCAATCCCATTATTGCATTAATAAATACAATATCCACTTTTACATGAAACTCTTGTACGAGAACTTTAAAGTACCGGAATTGCTGAACACTACTGTGCTCTAATAGACGCTTGACCATACTCAATTCAGCGAATGGTTTCATTACTGTTGGATACACATGGAAAATAGTTAACGAAAGGACAATTCGAATTTAACTAGAAAGAAGAACTTACCGGTGCTTTGGGTGACACTTTTTGGAGGTGGAACTGGAGCTAATATGACCGGGAAAACACAGTCTGAGAGCTGATTATCAATTTGAAGTCTATTGATCTTCGCATGCAATTGCACTTGATGTGCCGATGTTCGATACTGTAACCATAAACCTGTTTGAAAGGTTCGCCGCAGAAGTCTACGATGCGGTTTCAACATTTCCATGTTCATATAGTCAATCTATAAAATAACGTTTTGTTGTATCGAATTTTATTAAACTTAACTTTTATTCTATGCGATTGTCTTTATAACTTTATTCACCTCCAATTTTGGCTCGAGCATTACTTTCTGCGACGGATCTCTTCCTATTTGAAGCTCTCGCAGATATTTTTGATATCCTTCTTCTATGACATTTACTTCGTTTGCGCTGAGACCTCGCCAACGATGAGCAGCAGATTTACTGGCTTCCCAAATAATTCCAGAACTATATTGTAAACAATGATAATACCATTGAGTGCATTTACTACAATTAAATCATTAATTATATGTACTATAATAATAATAATAATAATAATAATAATTTACCTAGCTACACACATATATAACAATTCTGATCTCGTTACATTGTTTACAAGTGAGAGTCCAACTCCGTGGATACTTATGGTTATTTCTTGCTCTATAGTTTCAAAATCGCCTGCTAATTGACAGTCTTCAGCAATTTTCATGTTCGACGTGAACAGAAGTATTCGTTGAGTACCATCCAAGAATGATACATAAAATACTTCTTCTTCCAAATCTGGTAGCAGGAAAGCGCCTAACGTGTCCTAAAGGATCGATTTTCTAATACATGATAGCCGAAAGAATAATAATAAAAATTTATTTGTTACCTTTCTTAAAGTGTCTTCTATTTCCTTTTTATTGTTATCCTCCCACACTAACCTCTTTGGTCCTGAGGGATTCTCCCAAGTGTAAAACATTCTATTATACGATTGTACAGATCTGGAAAATAATGATCGTTTTATTAAATAATTCGATACTATTATACTCCACCGTTCAATATAAATGCATACCTGACGTTCAATGAGCCCTTTTCCCAAAATTGGATAGTATGAGAAGTATGGTTAATAATTAACGCTGGAGCATTACCATAAGTATAAATGGACAAAGAAATATAAACTCCACCTTCGCTTATTTGTACATCCACATTGATTCCTCCATACTGTTAAAAAAGTATTTAACGTGGTAGTAGTTTTGATAGTATATGCAAAATTATATAATAAAAAATTAGTATCAAAAGACAAACCTTATTATCTAATTTTAGCAAAGTTGTATGACTTTCGGTGTAGATGAGTGGTGCAGTTGTTTCAGGCTCTCCCACAATTTTAGCTCTCAAAGTTTTCTGTTCGTGTTCAGAACGAGGCCAAAGAGCTGTGCATTCGCCGGGAGGAATCTGCGTGTAATGGAAAAAATGAACGTTATTGTATCTCTCGATGCATGTATAATATAATTGCATCTACAAAACAATATTAATCTGTTTAAAAATTACTTTGAACATAGGATCAGCTGGTCTATCACCTTCTTGACATTCAATAAAAAAATCAGAATTATTTATGATTACATAGTATGGAGTAAACGTAATCTGTTTTGTCAAAGAATTATAGGTCAATTGGTTATGAACTCCGATCTATAAAATATAAAGAGTATTATTTCATTCGTGTTTCATAATTTTAAAATATTAACTTATTGTCTAGCAAACTGAGAACCTGATAAGTCAATCCATTGTATTTACAAGCAACCATTCCTTCGCTTCCAGCAACATCTATTGGAAATTTCTCAGACCACTCTCCATTCTCCACTCTAATCATTGCCTTCTTTTTACCAAAGAATACTTTCGAGCGAAATGAAAATAATATTGGTCCTTTAAAGTTTTCTGGGTGATATAACACATTTAAATAGTTGTCTCCACTCTGAAAATATTTATAGGATTAAATATTTGGATTAGATTCGTTGAATAAATATTAGCAGATGACTTAAGACGTGCAAACGAAATACAATTAATTCTATGTTTTTATTTTTGTACAATATCATTCGCTTGAAGGAACAATATTATACGCTACATTGTTGCTCAATGGTTTATGACGTACATAAATTTGCCAACACCAGTTAACATTATTCTTGAACAATAATGTACATTAGCGTTTCTAATCTCTTAATTTCTGTACTTAAAAAGAAATATTCTAGAAAACGTCACGTAAGGAGTTGACTGCGATACTTTTCTAAGAAACTTTGATTTAATTCTCTGGAAACTTTGGTTTAGAAGCATTTAAACCTTAATTCATGTTGCAAAATTGTGATATTGAAGCGTTATTAAGCTGACTAGTGAAATGAAATGTTCATAAATGGAATTATAGTGTTGAATCACTATTCATTTCCGAATTATCTCACATGCCCATTCATATGCAAGCACGCATACACACACACACACGCATACACAACACATACATATAAAAGTGTTATTAAGTAATAAGCAGATAATCATGGACAGTATTATTAATCCTAATAGTTAATGAGCTTTGTTTCTTGAGTAATGAAGTTTAATTAGAAAGGAAGCACCAATTACAACACAAACGAAACAAGGGTTAATACATTAACAGAAAAACGTGTACAGTTAATCCACGTTACTAAATTGTATAGAATGTTTGCTTTAACACTAACCGTACCTGTATTTAACAAATAACCAGTCAAATAACTGGCTACAAAAGAAAGATAAATAAGTTAGATCATACATTTTTCCTAGTGCAAACAGAAACAAAAGGAAAGGCAAAAATTGACTGATTGAAAAACTGATTAATCGGACAATATAGAAATTGATATAAAGTTAAATGAACGAAAACTAGTCATTTGACCGGTTCGCGGTACGATTAGTATTAAAGTGTGTAAGATGAAATCAACATCACCAATATAAAATGAAAAGAATGTGTATCGTCACCGAACGTGCTTTCTTCTTCCTGTATTCTGCACGTTGTCGATGGGGTTTCCTGACACAAAGCAAATTCTGAAAGACAGCCTTCTATGTACTTCTATGATATCGTCAATATCTAATTATATTGATCGTATCGATTATATGAAAACTTTCTCAAATGTATGATTTTACTATTCACAAAAGTTACATTCCATATGATGTAAATGGAACCAATGTTCTTAAAGTTGTAAAATTCAATCGTTGAGTTTCAAGTATTGTATTATAAGGTTGCAACTGATATAAAATAAAATGTTTTCACTTTTAAATGAAGAAAAACACTTTCCGAAACTCAAAATAAACTACATAAAAAAGTATAATCCTTATTGTATGATAAGTTTTCCTTTTAGTGCATTTAGCATTTAAAGCATGAACATATACTGTAACATGAAATCACTACCTTGATTGGACTTGAGTGTTCTTTGCCACCCTTACTTGATTTCTGTAAAATAATGTATTGCATAAGATACGACTGTACAGGTTGAAAAGATTTAGCAATTTTATCATAGTACTTCCAACATGCACAAAACGGTACGGCAATTACAGATCACACAAAATATCAAACTCAAGCACAAAAAGATTAATAACACGCCTAATACAGATACTAAAAGAGATCATTGTCGTCATCATCATCATCATCATCGTCATCATCATTGTAATTTATAAGATGAAAGTAAAATATTGTGCATGAATGTTGCAAAATTTTTAAATCTAATTGTTC